GTTCCACTGAACTGTGAACACCTGCTCACCAATTTCCATCGGTAATCGGGGTGGGGGTGGGGTACGTGTGCAGGTTCTCTCCCCAGCGCTTTTCCTAAAACAAAAGAAGTCACAGGCAGACACTGGGGATGGTAGGGGGGTGTCAAGGTCCTGCCCTCACGGCCCCCAAGCACCCTTTCTCTGCTGCCCCAGTGTCTCGAGTTTCCAAGGACTTGGAAAGACACAAGAGTGACCAGATGGCCCAGAAGTCCCAGGGTGAGTGACTTCCGGTTGGGGTCCAGAGGTGGGGTGGTTGAGGACGTGGTGACCAAAATGAGTGGGTGGTCCTGAAGACCCAGGCTAAGAGGCCACCTGGACAGAGAGGGGTGGGGAGGGGGACGGACCTTGTGAGGACTTTCTCACCCCCCGACCCCTCCCTGAACAGCTGCCAGGATGCTGGCGAGCATAGAGCACATCCGAGCAGAACAGAAGAGCATGCAGTCTCAGGGTGAGGACCTGCCTGGGGTCCCGGGGCCATAGGGCACCACGCGGCTGGGAGGAGGCTTGGGGACCATCCCTGACATCTGTCCTGTCCTTCCCACCCCAGAGGGTGAGCTCTCTCAGAACCTGGATGTCCTTGGAGCGGACTTGGACAACCTGAAAGCCAAGAGTGAGCCTGGGAGGGCCGAGGGAAGGGGAGGGGGTCAAAGGTGGGCCGAGTTTGTGTCTGAGCACTGAATCCTCCCTTCGTTTCCCCAAGGCTTGAATGAGAAGCGTGACGCCTCAGAGACCCTATGGAGACTTCAGGAGGAGGTGGCCAAGCTGTGGATGGAGCTAAAGATTGCCAATGGTGAGCACACGTGGCTGGGCGGGGTGAAATCAGGGATGAGGGGACGGGGGTGGGGGGTGGGGTGGGGGTGAGGACCACAGAGGACAGGATAGAACAACCCAGTTTCTGAGGCTGTCATTCTCTGTTCCTAAATGTTTTATTGTGAATTAGGTGGGGAGGGGGGGAAGAGTGACATCATTTTCTTCTTCCTCCTTTTCTTCTTCCTCCTTTTATTATTCTTCTTGTTCTCCCATCTTTCTACTTTGTTATTTATTTTCCTAAATCATCTTATTGGGGGCTCTTCATTCGTCTTGAGGACATTTTTATATATGGACCGAGGCGTGGTTCATTCTTCTGCAAATGGAAATCCAATTTTTCTAGCACCCTTCGTTGAAGAGGTTCTGTCTCCCCCATTTAATATGCTCCTGTCCTTTCTCAGAACGTAGGTGTCTGTAGATGAATGGGTTTGCTTGTTTCTGAGTTCTCTGGGCTGTTCCCTTGGCCTCTGTCTCTCTCCTTGGACCAGGACGGACTGTTTTGACTCCCGTGACTGGGTCGTGGGTTTGGAGATCACGAAGTGAGAGGCTCTTGCTCGGCTCTGCTCTCGTAGCGCTTTGCTCCTCTTCAGTCTCTTTCTTTTCCATGTAAAGTCAGTGGTTCACTTCCCCATCTCTTTAAAGAATGATGCTGAGATCTGGATTGGAATCTCATTATATCTTTGGATCACAGTTGTGGGTAGTATTGACATTTTCACAGTGTTAAGTCTTCCTACCCATGAATGAACACGGTATATTCTCTCCCATTGAGGTAGGCTTCTTTGGGTCTCTTGTAGTAATGCTTCATAGTTTTCTTTGTGCAAGCCTTTTGTTCCTCTGTGTCTTAGTCTAAGTTGACTAGAGAAACAAATCCAGGGAGATTCACACGTGTGTAAGAGAGAACTTTATATCAAAGAATAGTTGTATATTAAGAAAACATCGCAGCCCAGTTCAAATCAAGTCCATAAGTCTGATATTAGTCCATATGTCCCATACCAGTCTACAAATTCCCTTCATAGTCACACGACACAGGCAATGACACCGAATGCAGGAAGATCACAGGCCAGTGGGTGGAAAGTCTTGTGGATCCAGTGGCGGTGGAAGCATCTTAGTGCTGGCGTGGGTCTCCACGTGGCTCCTCTGGCTCCAGGGCTCTGGCTGCATGCATCAGCTCGGCTCTATCTGGCTTGTCAGCAGGAAGATGAAACAGAGAGAGAGTGTGTATCCTGCCTCCAGTGAGCTATTTATTTCCGTCACGCCTCCAAATGAGGTCATCAAGCTGAGACCTGACTGAGAGGCTAGACTCCACCCCTT